TCAGCTGTCCATGAATGTTGACGGGACAAAGCCACAGAAATGTACGGCAGTGGGCTGTACCATTACTGGAGGTATGCTACAAACACAAGAACAGTGCTAATGCCTATATGTATTGTTTTCACATTGTTTATGACAGCCTCTAGGTGTAAATGTCATTTTTACTAATTGCTATTTATCTTTGTCTCATTAGTGAGAGGCAGCTGATGTCCTAATGCCATGGAAAAAAAACATGAGCAAGGAGGCTAAACAGAAACTGCTCATATACACGGAGAAATAATAATAATAATAATAATAATAATAATAATAATAATAATAATAATAATAGCCTTTATTGTCATTGTACAGGATACAACGAAATTGGAGTGCCACTCCCTTGGTGCACAATACAATAATACCTCTAAATATAAAGGTCACCTAAAACAAAACAGTAGTAAGTAACAAAACAATAGTAAGTAACTAACAACACAATAGTAAGTAACAAAAACACTAGTAAGTGACAAAATAATAGAAAGTAATATATGCCGACTAGCACACTATATACAGAACAGCAGCTACCATATCATGTAAAAAAAAATGGCATTAGAATAGCAGCATAGTAGTTGACGGTGACCTTGACAGTCGCTAAGCAGTTTTAATTGTTTTTATGCTTATTCACTAAAGAGATCGCCCTGGGAAAGAAGCTATCCCTGAATCTGTTTGACCTGGTTTTATGTGACCTGTACCGTCGACCTGATGTTAATAGTTGAAAGACGTGATTGCTGGGGTGAGATTGGTCCTTGATGATATTGCTCGCTCTGCTGAGGTACTGAGAGTTTGCAATGACCTCCAGGCTGGACAGAGAGCAGCCAGTGATCTTCTGGGCTGTGTTGATGACCCTCTGCAGTACTTTCCTGTCTGCAGCTGAGCACCCTGCGTACCATGCTGTTATGCAGTACGTTATGATACTTTCTATGGTGGCTCTGTAGAAAGTAACCAGCAGCCTCTCCTCCAGGTTGTTCCTCCTGAGCACTCTCAGAAAGTGGAGACGCTGCTGGGCCTTTTTTACCACTGCCGTGGTATTTGCTGTCCAGGAGAGATCCTCAGAGATCTATACGCCCAGAAACCTCATGGAGTGCACCCTCTCCACACAGTTTCCATGAATGTACAGTGGGGCCGGGTCTGCTCTGCCCTTCCTGAAGTCGAAGATAATTTCTTTAGTTTTTGTGGTGTTCAGTTGGAGGTTATTTACTGAACACCACTCCGTCAGTCTGTTGACCTCATCTCTGTAGTCCGTCTCGTCCTCCTTCGAGATGAGTCCGACCACGGTGGCATCATCCGCAAACTTTATAATGGTGTTCGAGAGATGGAAAGGGGAGCAGTCGGATGTGTAGATTGTAAACAGGAGTGGACTCAAAACACATCCTTGTGGAGCCCCGGTGCTGAGTGTGATGGTGCTGGATTGGTGTGGCCCGAGTCTGACAGACTGTGATCTATTTGTCAGAAAGTCCTTAATCCAGAGGCAGATGGGGGTGGAGAGTCCCAGGTGAGACATTTTCTGGACCAAGACCTCAGGGATTATGTGATTGAATGCTGAGCTGAAGTCCAGGAAGAGCATTCTCACATAGCTTCCTCTGTGCTCCAGGTGACTCAGTGCAGTGTGGAGCGCTATGGTGATAGCATCCTCGGTGGATCTATTTGTCCTGTAGGCAAATTGATGGGGGTCCAAAGTGGGAGGCAGACTGGCCCTGATGTACTGACAGACCAGCCTCTCCAGGCACTTCATCACTACAGGCGTAAGTGCAACAGGCCTGTAGTCATTTGGGCTGACCACTGCTGACTTTTTTGCAACGGGGATGATGGTGGAGGTTTTGAGACAGGGCGGGACGGTGTTTAGTGACAAGGAAAGGTTGAAGATTTTAGTGAAGACTCCGGTCAGTTCGTCAGCACATGCCCTGAGCACCTTTCCATGTATTCCATCAGGACCTGCCGCCTTCCTGGGATTCACTGACCTTAGAACACACCTCACTTGATGCTCCACAAGTGTTAGTGTGCCGGTGCTGGGGGCGGGTGGGAGTAGATGGAGTTACATCTGAGGGCCTGGAATACAGAAAAGCTCTGGACTCATCTGAATTTTTGAAGAGGCTGTAGTATTGTGTTGACATTTATTTTTTTGGAAGGTTTTTGTAAGGCCAATAAAAGCTGTTGCTGGTTGTTTCATTTGTCTGAACTTTTTTTCTAAAGCAAAACTTTTCTGCTTTTGTGTTTACAGCATAATTTTTAAAGATTAGTGTATGGTCAATATCAGTTTACTAGTCTTGTGAATTGTATACTTAATTCAAAATATTTTAGTAATTTCTAAATCAATACATTTTGTGTCAAAGGGCCAGCAATTATTCCTGTTAACAGAATATATGAAATGCATATATACACATGTAAATATGCCTAAAAATTACACATCAGCAGCTGTTCAGTGTAAAGAAGCAATAAAAAATCATAAATAGTAACATAAATATTAACTACTCACTCGTATTGATTTAGACCCACTGTTAGTGCCTGTAATAACAAAAGGTTGAAAGTGAAATGTTGCTGTAGGAGGCGTGCTCCCAAAAATGGAGGCTAGTGGGCTTAAAATGATTAACACAAATTACTTTTTCTGATATTTATTTTATTGCATTTAAAATAAACACTTGCACATCCATTACTCACTGCTAACTTAAATAAGCATAGGTATGTTGTGCCTATTGTCCGGCCACTAATTATTTGTTGGTGGTATCTGTGTTTTATAATCCCACTGGGGATGGCCATAAAGTGTGTATGCAAGAAAAAATATTTAAATCTGGAGTCCTGTCTGTTTAATTACATTGTTACTATTTCTGTGTAAACGTATTCTTTCAATTGTATTGTTCGCATTGGAAGGCGTTTAATGATATGAATCAAACCCCAATCTCCTGCTGGAGCCTGAGGCGGGGTGCTGCACTCTGGATCTGACCCAGGTTTCAGCTCCCCTGCCCCGCTGGGAGGGTTTGAAACACCGCCATCACCTGCTGGAGCCTGTGGCGGGCTGCTCCGCCACTTAATTCCGACCCAGGTTTAAGCTTTCCCCGCCCGTTGGGAGGGCTGGCATTATTGAAATATTTCCCTTTTCTGACCACCAGGGGAGCTCAACAGGCACGTGGGGGCGTGTTTTGTAAGGGCTGCAGCTATATTAATGTCGATGAGCTAGGTATTATTGAAAATGTAAACAGCGAGAGTGTTGACAATGGACAGACACTCCACCGACACCTCTTCCTTCGTCGTTCTTGCTGAGCTCTTTCTAATAACAGTTGTTTCTCTAGCTCAAGCAGCTCCTGCTCAATAAAATAATTTGCTCTGTGTCTGTGTCGTCCATCTTTTCGCGAGTATGTGCGTCGCAAATAGTAGATACGTCACTTCAAGAGTAAGCACACCTGCATAGGAGCGCGCCCTCTGTTGTTTTGGCAGAGAATTTCTTTGCAACAAGGTCGGGCCAGTATGAATACAGAGGAGATACGACTGCAGCAGCGGGGGCGCAAATGTGCCTTTGCATGAATCAGGCTTTAGAAAGCACATAGCAGCAGTGCATTAGTCACTGCCTTGTGTGATATCTGACCTGGGCCACTCTGCCATCTATCTGACTTTGGTAGCTGGTTAAAACTGGCTGGAATGGTCTTGATCTCACTCCAGTCAGACTAGACACAAGTTAGGTCTGATCAAAAGATTTAGTTTGTAAAATAAATATTGAACTCTAAATTTAATGTTTGGCTTGCTAACGAAATATTTAGTTGGGAACTTTAACATTTATAAATGTATAAATATTGTGAAAATATGAAATAGAAAAATGAACTCCCATTTTTTCTTCTATAAACCAAAAAACTGCTGTTAAATTATGACCGACTTCCCAAATAGCACCCCATAGAGGCAGATGCACGGTTGTACAATGGATGGATGGACAATGAACGTGAGGTACTCACCCTTATACGAATGTTGGTCAACGGGGCACTCCACCATGCAGTGTCAAAGAAGACGCAAATATGTCCTCTTTCTAAATACAGAACTTCAGTGCCTCTATCTGCTCGACTCAAAGAAAAGCCCAAGTCTAAACAGTCCAGAGTTGATTCCAAAGCCATTTCAAATGAGCCGCCACCATCTTTGTTGTTTCGCTCTGGTGCCAATTCCAGCTAATTCTTCATTTTTATTGAACATAAAATGTTTTAGGATTCTAATCACACTAGGAAACTCAATTTGCTTTCTGCTATCCATCTAAAAACCACCCAGTAAGTTGTTTTAGTAAATAAATGTTTTTATTTGCAACATAACATACAAAATTTTAAACATAACTCAAAACGAGGCAGCCTGTCTTTGAACAGAAAATCTTCCCGTTGGGTTATCTAAATGAGGTCTTTAGTGTTTATGCAGTAACACTAATTTCATTTCCCTCTTGATCAAACAGAACATAAAACATTTCAGTGTTTTGAATGTGCTGCACAAATACACCCACATCAGTGCTTTTTATGGTGTTAAAACTCAGCTGACCTCTGACCCACCAGACCCAAAAGCCACTATGAATATCTGATTTTAGCACTGAAGAGACAATCAACTTTTATTCAAGCTAAAACTTGCTTCACATCATCGTCACGGATTTATTTACACTTCTGATTCATGTAACACAATTCTTTAAAAAACAATTGCAACACACACCTATGGCAAAATCAAGTGAGCCTAAATAAATCATACACCAAGTCATTTAGATTCACGTGGCAATTCAAATATCCTTTAAGAACGGCGTTGTTCCAGGGCTAAACAAGCCACAGGGTGACCTGAATGACATTTTGATTAGTACAGGAGGAACAAGAGCTGCATTCCATTTGGAGGACTTTGTTGTGAGCTTTTCCTAACCAGCATGCATTGCTGCACAAACAGAATCCAGACCTTGTAATTACCCCCGAGCCTTCAATGTCTGATAAAATAGGCCTCGAGAAAACAACTCAAACAACAAGACTGACTCAACCATGACAGGTTTATTCAAAACATGTGTAAAAACAGCCATACTGAAAACCATTTCAACTAACTACACAATCAGGACTCTTAAAGATGGAGGAACAATCCGCTGCGGCTTCACTTGCAGTACCTGTCTGCTTTCATTTTGCTCCTCCTGCAACAAGAACAGAAAGGCATATTATTATTAATACTAACCACATAAAAATCTGCTTCAGACCATGTTTTACTGAAGCTGAAGTACCGCCCCTTCCTCAGCAGAGACACATCCTTTGAGCTCTTTTGTTTCCATACCTGTCGAGTAAAGCTTCATGAAACTTTCCATCTGTCCTGGCTTTCTTCAACGTTGTAGAGTCGTCTTCGTTAACCCTCAGCCGTCTGTCTTGGAAGCTCTGAAACTTCTTCCTGTGATGCAAATAATAATAATAAAACAAATGAATATAAATCAATGAAAAAACCCTGACACACTCATTTTCTGAGAGGTAGGACTGTAAGGAGGTTAATGCTCTAAAACAAATCCACGAGGACACAGCATCAACTGCAGGAGACTGTTTGCCTTTTCCAGCGAAAACCAACTAACTTCAGTTTCCAAAAAACAAAGCTTGTTTGTGGTATCTAAACAGGGTTTACCTTAATTTTTTAATGACACTTTAATATGAATAATTAAATAGAGAGAAGCCAGTTGAGGTGGCTCTGGCATCTGGTCAGGATGCCTCCTGGACGCTTCCATGGTGAGGTTTTCTGGGCACGTCCAACCGGGAGGAGACCTAAAGGTAGACCCAGGACACGTTGGAGAGACTCCCTCTCACCTGGCCAGGAAACGCCTTGAGATTCCCCCGGAAGAGCTGGCCCAAGTAGCAGGGGAGAGGGAAGTCTGGGCCTCTTGGCTTAGGCTACTGCCCCCGCGACCCGACTCCAGATAAGTGGAAGAGAAAGGATGAATGGATCTCACTAAATTATGTAGAACTGTTACCTGCCACAGGTAGGTGGGTGGATAAATAATTAAAATCAGGATATCTTCTGATAAAACAAACCAAAGGCTCGCTTGCTTTTCAAACCTCTTCTGATATTTAGCTCCTCTTTGCTCAGCTGGTGTTTCACGATTCCCAGTGGCACTCCATCTTGAAAAGCCTTTCAGAAGCTAAACACTTCATCAGAACACGAGCTCAAGGGCAGCCATTATAAACACGTCAACATGATGAGTCCATTTGCCTAGCGTTCATCTAAAACAAATGTCAGAGTGGAAACACAATTCAAGGCACGCCAAAAAAAAAAAACCAGCCTCAGACGTATTGTGTGGACCTTAATAGGCCACAGACAGGCAGGCTGTATATGAAACACTTAGAGCACCAGAAGCTGATATGTGCACTGTCAGTGGCCCTTCTGAGGTGTGGGATTGATGAGGGGGATGCTTGGAGGCGTGATCTCGTTCAAACATCCAATTTTGTTGTCAAATTCCTGCTGGTGCTCACTGACACAATGTGAGACGAATGGGAAAGGAAAGTCCCGCTCCCTGCCTCCTCCACACCCCCCTCAATCTGCATGAGGAGCTTGAGCACAGGTTTCAGAAGAAGGTGCAAAGTGTTTCTGCTTCAACTAGAACCTGTTAGTGTACTCTGTTTATATAACACATTTACACAACCATCATTGACCAAAGCGCTGTGCAAGATGAGGTCATAAAAGCAAGAACAACATTTACATAACACCACAACAAAGCTTGATCCCCTCTTTACACCAGCCTCGTCTTTAGTCACCAGAAGGTTGTTCTCTCAGACCGTAGTGGTCTGGGCAGAGCGTAGGGCTGTAGTAAGGCCTTCAAATGTGGTGGACCTATGCCTTAAAAGTCAGTTAAGGGATCTTTAATCAATGTCAAACAACCTGGGAGACAGTGTAGTGCAGCAAGGACAGGAGTTATGTGACCTCGCCTTCTAGAAGATGTTTACAGTCTGGCAGCAGCGTTCCAAACTACAGTGGTCCCTTTCTATAACGCGGATCAGCTTTCATGGCCTCTTGTTTCACAGATTTTTCTGTGCAAATTTGCGTGCTTTTTTAAGTGCATTGTGTTCTGCATCCAAAGGTACAAACTTGGTTTGAACTTTGATGGTGTTTAAACAGAGAAATGTGTGAAAATGTTAATGCATGTCTGAGAAAAGTGTATAAAGTGTGTAGTGAGTGGTTTTACAGCCTTTAAACACTGCGCCAGCGTGCTGGGACGAGCATGTCTACAGGGAGAGGAGAGGAGCTGCGTCTGCGGGAGGGCACTATGCAATGGCTGAAGCGCTTCTTTAACTGCGGGTGAACAGTAGCATGTTTGAATTGAGCTGCAGCACCACCTGAAGTAAGACTGCTATTTATGATAAACTGGACAACTGGTCACACAGATGTAAAAAACCTTCTTAAAAAAACAAGATGGAAGGATATCAGTTGGGCAGTATGGCGTTTTCAGTTTACCCACAATTTTCTCAAACTGACTTAAAGAAACCGACTTCGATGAGCTTGTGGCACAGACACATGGGTACTTTAGGGCTAGTCGCGACATCTGGGGAAGACCACTATTAAAGTGCGTTGTTGTCTTCTTTAATAAGAGACTCAGAACAGAAGGCTGCTATTTCAGCTCCGGCTCGCCCCTGTGCCGACGGGGCCTGCATCTTTCGCCGTCATCTTTTGTTTTCCCAAATGACCTCATCAGCGTTTACCAGCTCTCCTTTATCGTTTACTTTAAACCCAAAATACTTCCAAACTACAGAAGTTGTATTTTTTTAAGACACCAAGTGAGCTGCTGCACGACCGGCCATTTTTCTCTACGTCAACCATGCATCTGTTTTACACATTGTTGCGGCTGCCAGCCTGGCCAGAGGGAAAAAGCAGCCAGGATCACCCAGCTCTGGTGATCGGCCAGACACCGCCACCCTCCTCCTCCTCCCTTCCAGGCTGCTGAGGAGCACAGCTGAGCTGAATCCCTCTGATGACCAACACCTGGGATAAAAGAGCTGTGCCTTCAGCAGTCTTAGCAGGGGTTCTGCTGGTCTCCATTCTTCGTTTTGTTTTAACCCCTTCGTTCGTTCGTTTTGACGAGTTTAACTTTTATAGTTAAACTCTTGAGTGATCCTGTGGATCTTGTGTTCGTTGGTTTTTAAGGTTAACGTTGTTTGTTGCAATTTTATTGACTTCGTTTTTAAACATAAGAAGGTGCAGGATGGCGCCGCAGATGGCAGCCTCGGTACATTGCTCTCTTTTGTTTGTGTTGTTTTTGTATATTTTTTTGGAAATCAGCGATGCAAAACGGATTACTTTCACAAGGTTCCCACTCTTTTCTTGAAATAATTTTCCAGGACTTTTCCAGGACATTTTCAAGACTTTTTCAGTGTACAAGTCAAGTTATCATAACTGCGGTTTGCCGATATCCCGATATATTTAGAAACAGATATGATATTGTACCTACCCACACCGTTATTTTGACAATATAGTTGTGGAAAGATTTTTGTCTTTCACAAGCCCACCTGCTTTCCTCTACTTACAATGCAACACAACTAAAACAGAAGTTATTCTCTACTTTAGTTCATACCAGAGGTGTGACATTGTGGCATCATCAAGTCATCTCCATGTCCTGTTTTTGTTCTGCTCAGCAACTGAACCAGGTTAATCCACTGTGCTGAATGAAATCGTCGTCGTCTTCCTCCGCTTATCCGGGTCTGGGTCGCAGGGGCAGCATCCCAACTAGGGAGCTCCAGACCGCCCTCTCCCCAGCCACCTCCACCAGGACCCCAAGGCGTTCCCAGACCAGATTGGAGATGCAACCTCTCCAACGTGTCCTGGGTCGACCCGGGGGCCTCCTGCCGGCAGGACATGCCCGAAACACCTCCCCAGGGAGGCGTCCAGGGGGCATCCTGACCAGATGCCCAAACCACCTCAACTGACTCCTTTCGATCTGGAGGAGCAGCGGTTCTACTCAGAGTCCCTCCCGAATGTCCGAGCTCCTCACCCTATCTCTAAGGCTGAGCCCGGCCACCCTATGGAGGAAACTCATTTCGGTCGCTTGTATCCGCAATCTCGTTCTTTCGGTCATTACCCAAAGCTCATGACCATAGGTGAGGATTGGGACGTAGAATGACCAGTAAATCGAGAGCCTGGCTTTCTGGCTCAGCTCCCTCTTCACCACGACAGATCGGCTCAACGTCCGCAGCACTGCAGATGCCGAACCAACCCGCCTGTCGATCTCCCGATCCCTCTTACCCTCACTCGTGAACAAAACCCTGAAATACTTAAACTCCTCCACTTGAGGTAGGACCTCTCTCCCGATCCGGAGTTGGCAAGCCACCCTTTGCCGGTCGAGAACCATGGTCTCAGATTTGGAGGTGCTGATCCTCATCCCAGCCGCTTCACACTCGGCCGCAAACCTACCCAGCAAGAGCTGAAGGTCAGAGCTGGATGAAGCTAGGAGGACCACATCATCCACAAAAAGCAAAGACAAGATTCTCCTGCCATCAAACTCGACACACTCCACACCACTGCTGCGCCTAGAAATTCTGTCCATAAAGGTAATGAACAGAACCAGTGACAAAGGGCAGCCCTGGCGGAGTCCAACCCTCATCGGGAACAGGTCCAACTTACTACCAGCTATGCGGACCAAACTCACGCTCCTCTGGTAAAGGGACTGAATGGTCCTTAACAGAAAGCCACCCACCTCATACTCCTGGAGCGTCCCCCACAGAGTGCCCCTGGGGACACAGTCATAAACCTTCTCCAAATCCACAAAACACATGTGGATTGGTTGGGCAAACTCCCATGCCCCTCCATCACCCTTGCAAGGGTATAGAGCTGGTCCACAGTTCCACGGCCAGGACGAAAACCACATTGCTCCTCCTCAATCTGAGATTCGAATATCGATCGGACCCTCCTCTCCAGTACTTTTCCAGGGAGGCTGAGGAGTGTGATCACCCTATAGTTGGAACACACCCTCTGGTCACCCTTCTAAAAGATGGAGGCCACCACCCCAGTCTGCCACTCCACAGGAACTGCCCCCGATGACCACGCAATGTTGCAGAGACATGTAAACCATGACAGTCCTACAACATCCATAGCCTTGAGATACCCAGGATGAATCTCATCCACCCCTGGGGCTCTGCCGCTGTGTAGTTGTTTGACTACCTCAGCAACTTCTGCCCCCAAGATTGGACAGTCCATCCCCATGTCTCCTGGCTCTGGTTCCTCCTCGGAATGCGTGTAGGTGGGATTGAGGAGCTCCTCAAAGTATTCCTTCCACCGTCCGACCATAGCCCCAGTTGATGTCAGCAGCTCCCCATCCCCACTGTAAACAGTGTGAGCGAGTTGCTGTCTTCCTCTCCTGAGGCGTCGGACAGTTTGCCAGAACCTCTTTGGAGCCGATCGATAGTCTTTCTCCATGG